GCCGTACAGCAGTTCCTTCCTTCCTTCCTTCCTTCCTTCCTTCCTTCCTTCCTTCCTTCCTTCCTTCCTTCCTTCCACTTTTTAAAATAGCTTTAACTCTGATCAAACGAGTTTGAGTTTTTACTATTTTAATGCATGCCCCATCAGAAATGAGCATGAACAGATTGTTGTACGCTGCCCAGAGTCACTTTTTGTGAAATGAGTGACCATACAAATTTGATTAATAAACAAACAAATAACTAAATAAAAATCGTCAAGTTAATTGAGGATGAAATTTGGAATGTAAGATACAAAGTATGGCACCAAAAGTCTGTTAGTATATGGCAGATAAGAGGCTACTAATTTATACTACAAAAATCATATGAATAAATATTTGTGAAATAATAGAAATAGGCTGGAGTTATAGTTTTTAGTTGCTTATCTTTCCATTCAGAACTTTTTTCTTCACATTCTCATGGTCATTTGAGAATCTGTTTATTTTAAGTTTGAATTAAAATTGTATGTATTTTGTGCCATTCCCCTAAGTATAGTTGTTTGACAGTTGATACCATTTCTTCCCCATATGCTCCAGTTTTGTATATTAGTTTCACAAATGCATACCAGACTCCATTTTTGTGCAGACTTTTTCAAATATTCTTTTTCATTAGCAAACTGCACTTAAAAAATGTGTACAAATTTCAGTTTATATGTTGGCTTGCAAACCAATTGTACCACAGCATTAGATAGATTCACAATCAAATGCAAATTAAACAATTTTCTCAAATCCACAGTTTGGAATCCTCTACTTATTCATGAGTCTTTGCTGAATCCTACTAGACTTCCAATCTTTACAAATAATTATACCATGCTATATAAATAAAATGTCCACAATAATAAATCATCCCCTTTCAACCCAAATCATGAGAAAGATCATACAGGAATTAATCTGAGCAATTTATCTTACTAGCTGCTTGTTAGCTGTAGTCTTGGCCAGAAAACCCAGCTTAGGAACTATACCTGAATGGTTTATACAGTAGATTTTCTGACTGTTAATGATACCCAAAAGATGTTCAAAAGCAAATAAAATAATAGGTATTTTTTATTAAAAATATCCTGACTAATAACAAAATTTAACAGCAAGACATTTTGAGATTCAGGTGTCTTAACCACAAGGGACAAGGAGGAAAAAAAATTAAATCTAAAACAAAATACCCTAAAAGGAACAAAGAAAATAGACATGAGTAAAAACGCAAGGAATAACAGGCCATAATCTTTTTATTTGTATATGGTTTTGCACCTGTTTTTAAACACTGTATATGGTCCAGAGTTGTTATGGAGTTGGGTTGCCTTTAGAAATTTGATAACTAACTAGCTAACTAACTAACTAAATAACTAACTAAATAACCTTTAACAGGAAAGTACAAGATCAAGGAACTGATTACCATAAAGGAAAAGAGGAACAGGGAAAGCTAGAAAAATTGGCAAGGCGTGCAGGATCAGAGAGATGTATTAATTTGATGTGAAACAAAGTCACCAGAGATTGAATAGGTTTAATTTCCTAAGAAGATACCAAAGTAGAGTCAAGTAAAGGAGCGGATTCTGCCAAAGTTCTCTGTCTGCTTATTGTACCAAGATAGCATACTGAGATCTACCCAAGTAATCCTCAGCTTTTGTCTTCTGTACCTATTTTCCATTTCCAGCCTTGAACAGCGGAATATCTCGCTGGAGACCGAAATGATGAACCTCCACGATGAATTGGAGCAAGAGAAGAAGAAGTTTACAATGGTAGAAATCAAAATGCGTAATGCTGAGCGGGCCAAAGAAGATGCTGAGAAAAGGAATGACATGTTGCAGAAAGAGATGGAGCAGTTTTTCTCAACGTTTGGGGAACTGACAGTGGAGCCGCGTAGGACAGAAAGAGGGAACACCATATGGATCCAGTGAGGGCTGTTCCTGCCGCTCACCAAGACTATGGGATTCTGGGAAGAGGGTTGCTGTGATATTTTATTGCAACAGGTGACTGGTCACCTGACTGAGGCTAGCACTCAATGTAATGTTACCAGACCTCCAGAGAGACTACCGTGGCTACATCAACCAATCATATCTCTGCAAGTTGCTTCTCAATTGAGAGATTCATGCTCCCTGAATCCATTATCATGCTACTGTTAAGTGTTACAGCAGGCTTTGGGCATATAGATTTTAAATAGGTTATGTGGGAGGGGGGACGATAGAAAGAAACAAAATATTATTTTAATGCAAGTCTTATATTTAAACTGTCAGATGTTAACTTCATTGCAATCAAGCTTTTCTCCCTTGCACTTAACATAGTAAGCTATTTTTGGCATTGTGTTATAATCGGCTAATTTTGTATATTATTTCCCCCCCTTTGGTTGCCCTGTCATTGCAGAATTAATTATATATATATATATATAAATATATATAAATATGCACACATAATATATATGTATATTTATACACACACACACACACACACACGTGTGTTTGCGCGTGGGTATATATATACAAAATGTTAGCTATTAAAACAAACAAAAGAGTATTGTGTGGCTGTGCTGTTTATGCCAATTGATTTGCCCATGACCAAAAAAAAAAAAAAAA